GTATTGGTGTACAGTGTGCCCATGCTTGCTATATTTTAACAATTCGATTTTCCTTTAAATATCCGAACGACAAATATCTAAACACAACCTAACAAGGCAGCCGGTCGTCACGGGTCCCGCGCTCCATGGCTCACACACGTGACGTTTACAACCCCTAAACATCTTTATTTCTCGTGTACCTCACCAATCCTGCCACGTGCCAGATCTTCATGATAATATGATCAGTAGTAAGTAGTAGTAACATATTATCACCGTCCCTTTTCCGATACGTCTTTCATCACTCTACTCCAAATCACAGAGCTTTACAGGTAGGCATGCCTTCATTTTATCCTTGATGTTATTTCTAATTTGCATTTGTTCCCATCACCGTTCGCGTGAGGTAAAATTTTGTTGCGGCCAGCAGTTGGTGCTTGCTCGATTAATGGCAACTTGTTTTATTGTTTCGAGATTGAATAATTTGCTGGTAACTGGGTCTCGCATTTGCCCTTTTTAATTGATTTTGTGGAGCGATTTGAAGGTAATTGGAACTTCGAGCTAACTGTATGTTGAAATGATTTGATACATTCATTCACTTTATGTTTTCAATTTCCATGAATTATGTTGACATTTTGGTTTCGATCTTGGCTCTTGCTTTACTGGTCCCAGTTCATATTTGATTGTGCAATCGTTAATCATCCTGTACCGTTGTTTGAACGTCTGCGTATTCTATGTGTTACGCTTGTGATTTATGCAAGTGCATGTGATGTTATATCTATGTACCCCCGATATATTTCAAATTCTACGTTCTGATGTGTGTGGTTTATAGTGTATATGTTATTTTTATATTTTTGCTTTTGTTGTTGGAGTTTTTGGCAGTATAAATGTTAATCTTTGACCACCTGATATTCTAGTGTTAATCGTAAGATTGGGAAAATGAGCAACACAATAGGGAATAACTTGCGGCATCAGAGTTTGCTTTCTCCCTCAGTATTAGAGCACAAGAGTCGAAGAAATTCTTCCGCTTGCATTGGGGGAAATACCTTTTCCCATCTACAAGCAAATTCACTGATACACAGATCTTCTATATCAACAGAGTTTCATGGCAACAGACTCACACTTCAGAAGAAGAAATCACTAATGGGGAAGCAGCGTGCTATTACAAGATCATTTAAGGCTGTTTTGGCAGCTGATTCGCCCTCTGCGGTAATAATACACGAACCATTTTAAGTTAGGATTTCTCTTTTATTCCTTCTATAATTCTTTTTACGAAAGAGGGGCTACTTTTTCCTGTAACTAAACATTATTATTGTCATTGTCTTCTCTGAATAATGGTATATATAATGTTCGTTATCTATAGGGTGCTAACCTTATAAAGGCTGGACCAAATTATTAGAATATTGGGTTAGAGAGGTGAACTCAGAAAATGTTTACAGTTTACTTACGATCATTTTTCATTTCCTAACAGCTTACGGAGAAGTTCAACCTTGATCAGAATATAGAACTACAGGTATGCATAGTTCTTCTGATTTTTGAATATGTTGGGTATGGATGGAATGCTTATCAGTTAAATGTATAGAATATTTCGGGATGTTGACTACAGATGATATCTATGGACATTAGAATAACGGATGCATATGAACAGGTTGATGTTGGGATTGCCACTTCAGGTTCTGCTTCAATTGTAAATGTTCAAGTTACAAATAGTAGTGATCGCCTACTCCTACACTGGGGGGCAATCGGTAGTCAAAAAGAGTATGTTCAGTTGGAGTTGGATTTCATACTAATAATAAATGGTACACATAACTAAACTATCAACAGTTTGTACTTATCTATTTTCAAATATTTCCTGAACAGAAAATGGATACTTCCTCATTGCCGTCCAGTTGGAACTATGGTGTATAAAAACAAAGCACTTAGGAGTCCGTTTGTGAAAGTAAGTTTATGTGCTGCTATTTCTGTAGTGAATCTTAAAAATGCAGTCCAGAATATAACATGTTTTCAAATGGTGATCTCTTCTTAGTCTGGTTCAAATGCGGTCCTTCAAATAGAGATCGATGATCCTGCAATACAAGCTCTGGAGTTTCTTATTTTTGATGAAGCCCATAATAAATGGTAAAAGTAATTTTTTGTTTGATAATTTATGGGTCTGTTTATCGGAGTATATTTGCAGCAATTGTCTTTTTCACGTTCTCAGGTACAAGTACAATGGGGGTAATTTCCATGTTACATTACCTAAGACAAAGTCAAGGGCAATAGATGTTTCTGTTCCGGAGGATCTTGTACAAATTCAAGCATACTTGAGGTGGGAGAGGAAAGGGAAGCAGATTTACACACCAGAAAAGGAGAAGGTAACTGCTTATGGAGTATAAATTTTGGGTCATGGTTTATTGGGATGATGGCCTACTATTTATTTGAATATAAAAATGTTGAGTTCAAGGCCCTGTTTCTGGTGGCACACGGATATTTTTTCTTCAGTTCTTTGATTTCACATTATATTCGCAGTTGAACCAATTAAATTGCAGCATGTGTATTTACGGACGTTTGTACTATCACTGCATGGAAATTGTTTAATAATTTAAATGCATGCTTAAATGTCCGATCAGTTGCCCACCTATGCTGAATAAACTCAAATCATGCAAGAAAGCAGAATCTGCAAGAGTTTTCTAAACCTTTTAAATGTTAGGATTTTTTCACACCATTATGTATTGCGTTTGGCATCTAATATAACACTTGTTTGTTTGGATTGTTACTTATAGCTTTTTGTTAATTGGTCATGTGCGTACACAGGAGGAATACGAAGCGGCTCGAATGGAGCTGTTGGAAGAAGTAGCTAGGGGTACATCCATAGAGGATCTTCGAAAGAAGTTATTAAACAACAATAATGCAAGCAAAAGTAAGGAACAGCTTGTTTCTGCTTCAAAGAGCACTATACCTGATGATCTGGTTCAGATACAAGCATATATAAGATGGGAAAAAGCTGGAAAGCCAAACTATTCTCCTGAACAGCAACTTGTAAATATCAAATCTTGAATATCCTCAGTTGTGAATTGTCTCTCAATATTCATGTTACTTGGTCTAAATCCGATTGTATAAACGAATCACATTTTACTGCACTCATTTTAATCCAGTTATCCCAATTTAACAGAGAGAATTTGAAGAAGCCAGAAAAGAGTTGCAGGCTGAAGTAGACAAAGGTGCTTCCCTTGACGAAATACGAAAGAAAATCAACAAGGGAGAGATACAAACAAAGGTTTCCAAGCAATTGGCCAAAAAGAGATATTTCACCGCAGAAAAGATTCAGCGAAAGAAAAGAGACCCAGTGTCACTTCTCACTAAATTTACTCCAGTGCCAGTGGAGGAAAAAGCCTCTTCAGCTCCAGAAGTTCTCTCCGCAGTTCAACAGGTCTCCAGGGTGAAAGAAGATCATATTAATGGCTCTGTAGTGAGCAAAAGAGTTTATAAGCTTGGTGACAAGGAACTCCTGGTAAGCGTGGCAAAATCCATCGTTTTTTATTTCATATTTATCATCTAGTTGAAGATTTATTGTTTATTAATACATTTATTCTTTGAAGGTGCTTGTAGCAAAGCACCCGGACAAGACACAAATTTATCTGGCTACAGATCTTCCACAGCCTGTTGTTCTTCATTGGGGCTTATCTATGAGACCTGGAGAATGGGAAGTGCGTACACAAGCTTTTGAAATTTTTTTCAAGGCCGAGTAGCAGTTTAATGGAAAAAATTAGTATGTTTTTGCTTGTGTTGTATATTCTGATCTGAGTATGTTAAATGTCTGGTTATTATACAGGCACCTCCTTCCACTACATTGCCCCCTGATTCAGTCTCTCAAGACAAAGCTGCTGAAACAAAACTCACAACAAGCTCTTCTGATGATCAACCTGATAAGGTTTGGCTGACAAAATCTCATATGTTCCCTACTTATGCCTAAATGGTGCAAGGCTAAATTTCCTCAACAATTTTCAGGTCCAATCCTTAGAAATTATAATTGAAGATGACAAGTATGTCGGGATACCATTTGTTCTTTTATCTGATGGAAACTGGGTGAAAAATGGAGGGTCTGACTTTTATATTGAGTTGAACACTAGCCCTATGGAGGTTAAAAAGGTTGTTATCTCAATCCTTATGGTTCTTTTTTCTCCATTATACTTTCCTGTCATTATAAGGTATCATCTACTGTTTCTACTTTGTGTACAGCAGGATTTTGGAGATGGGAGAGGAACATCAAAGTCTTTGTTAGATAAAATAGCAGAGTTGGAAAGTGAAGCCCAAAAGTCCTTCATGCATCGGTGATGAGTTTGTTAATATTTCTGAAGCTTAGAGTTCAGCACTTCCTACATATCTGTTATTCCTTAATTGCTCACATTATTGCTACAAAATGTTCAACAAATTCATTTAAATGACCCCACTCTAGCATCTTTTTCTTGATTTATTGGATTGGATCAAATATGTAATTTTGTGTGTCTGTTTATGTGTGTGATATACATTTAGCTCTGGAAGTTCATGATGAGTTTTGTAATGTGACTTACCAATGATAATAGTTGCTTTTAAAGTTTATAATGCAGTTGCAGGCCCAATAATTGACATATCCGGTTTTGGAGCTTAAACTTCTTTCATTGAGTGAGTTCCGAGTGAACATGACTCGGGGCTGCGTCTTTGAGTTTTCATCTTTAGTTCTGTTTAGCTTCAGCTTGAGAAATGTGAATCTTGTTTCTGAAATAGTGCCATGTGAGATTTTTGATGTCTACGTGCAAGAATCACAGTGATGGACATCTCAAACCTCATTATGTGTGGATGATGATGATGACAATGATGTTCTGTTATTTATTCCTGATGAAAATATATTTTTTTATCTGTGAGTACGCATGTGATTTTTTGTTAAATGATTAAAACTTACATTGCCTCTTACAGATTCAATATTGCAGCAGACCTGATGGAGCAAGCAACCAGTGCTGGTGAACTAGGTCTTGCAGGAATTCTTGTTTGGATGAGATTTATGGCAACGAGACAGCTGATTTGGAACAAAAACTACAATGTAAAACCTCGGTAGGACTCCTAAATCGTGCTTTTCTCCTTCAACAGATATGCAAAGATCTTTGTAATTTCAGTTATGTATTTTCTGTCGTCACAAACTTCATATCTAAGGACACCAATTGTGGTCGTAAGAATTTGTTTCTGTAAGTTATTCGTGAACAATGCTTTTGATTTCATAAACAAAAAAATTTAAATAAAATAAGATAAATAAAGAAGAAGAAAGAGAAGAAGAAAAAGAATGCTTATGAGTGTTTTATTGATCTTCTCTTTCAATTAACAAAGATATGCTTATTCTTTATTTTGACACCACTACTGGTGCAGAGAGATAAGCAAAGCTCAGGACAGGCTAACAGATTTGCTACAGAATCTCTACATAGCATTCCCACAGTATCGAGAAACTTTACGCATGATCATGTCAACTGTTGGCCGTGGAGGTGAAGGAGATGTAGGACAAAGAATAAGGGACGAGATATTAGTCATTCAGGTGTTCTTTTCTTAGGAGTTCCTTTTGTATCATACTTTTATTTCTTGGGTTATTCGGTTTGTAATGGTGAGGAATTTTATAATCATTTGCAGAGGAAAAATGACTGTAAAGGTGGAATGATGGAGGAATGGCATCAGAAGTTGCATAATAACACTAGTCCTGATGATGTTGTGATCTGTCAGGTATTTATATTATCAGTAAACTATCATCTTTTGCCTGGTTTATTATAATAAATGCACTCCCAAAATAATCTTTATATGCTACATCTATAATTTTCATCACGCTTATTTGCTGCAGGCATTAATCAACTATATCAAGGATGACTTTGACATTAATGTTTACTGGAAAACCTTAAATGAGAATGGAATAACCAAAGAGCGTCTTCTTAGTTATGACCGTGCGATACATTCCGAACCAAATTTTAGGCAGGATCAGAAAGAAGGACTGCTACGTGATCTTGGACATTACATGAGAACATTGAAGGTTAGAGCCGCCATCAATTTTCACGTCTTATTGGGAATTCGGAAATTGACACTAGATTCTAGTACTAATATAGGCACTATTTATTAAATCTGTAGCAGCTTTGTGACAGTTTTACTTAATAACTATTATGTGAATCAACGTGTAAGAGTTTTATCCGGTTTTTCCAATTTGCTCGTGCACTCCTTTTTTCTTCATAAGTTCTACTCCATCGTGTAAACTTGCAGGCAGTTCATTCGGGCGCAGATCTTGAGGCTGCCGTCGCAAATTGCATGGGCTACAGTGCTCAGGTAATTCTGAACAAATCTCGTCATTTAGCAATCTGTCTCTCATTTTTTTATCTCATTGCTCTGATGTAAGTGGTCGTAAATTCCCATCAGGGAGAAGGATTCATGGTGGGAGTGCAGATAAATCCAGTGGCTGGCTTGCCAGCAGGATTCCCGGTAGTACATTAGTTCTGATATTAAATTGTCCTTTGAGTAAGACATTTAACATGTTAATTTTTCATAATTGATAAAACAGGAACTACTTCAATTTATTCTAGCACACATTGAAGATGAGAATGTGGAAGCCCTTCTTGAGGTATGTTTTTTCTACTAGTTCATTTTTGTCCTCCTTTCATTTTTTATTTTCAATTTATTCATTCTTTCTTTTTTTAGTGGATTGGAGACAAAGGCTATGCAGGCCTTATACTTGAAGCATTTTCTATCTGTTTCTTTGTTATGGAAAATTTCTGCTTTCAGGGATTGCTTGAGGCTCGTGCGGAGCTTAGGCCATTGCTTTCCCAGCCGAAGGACCGTCTTAAGGATCTTATATTCCTGGATATTGCTCTCGACTCTGCAGTTAGGACAGCTGTTGAACGTGGATACGAAGAATTGAGTAATGCAAGTCCTGAGGTATGTGATAAACTTAATTTGTCGTCTTTGCTATTTTGATAGCCAGAACTAATTATTTCATGTAAACATGACTTTACACATCTTTTCCCTGACTTCCGCAGAAAATAATGCACTTCATCTCTCTTGTTGTTGAAAACCTTGTTCTTTCGGTGAACAATAATGAAGATCTCATTTTTTGCCTGAAGGTCAGATTTAATTAAACAGAAGTGCCAGTGCTTTGTTTATTTTGTGTTTTTATGGCTCTGTCTTAAAGCTGCTAGCTTGCTTTAGAACTTTACAATACATCGACATTGATGGACATTCTCTTTGAAAGGTTTCTTTTATAACTAGCAAATACAAGATTTCGAATAATCACAAATCTACCCCGCAAAACTAAACAGGAACATCCAAAAAGAATTATCAAGAATTCAAAAACTAAAACCAATAACTTGCATAGCTAAAACAACGAACACGATAATGGAAAGCATTTACGAAAATCAGTTTTTGCCTGCAATGTTCATGATTGCATTATACAATGTGCTATCAGTAAGTTTGAAGATAACTAGGTCTTTTTTAACCAATCAGAACCTCAAGGGAAATATTAATAATTGATACAACGGTTTTTACAATTTTTTATGAGAAGAGGCCAAATTGCCCGTCCTTGCTTTCATAATTGTGACAACCAGTTTCAGCTAGGTGTATGGCTGTTCTGTGTGGATGGACATGTTCTGACAAATGGTTGTCTTGAGATGGGAAGATCTTATGCTTTCTTGATAAGATTATACATGGCTTTATCTTGGACTAACCACTAGCTTGTGAAAATGAACCAAAATACATATAGACCGAACTTGATTTATTTCATATGATACATTTAACCACACATGTAATCTCTTGTTGGTCTGTTAGTCTGCCAATGTTCAACAAAACTCATGGGTAGTAGAGAAAGAAAAACATTATTCTATATGTAAGGTAGTCTAGAAAAAGTGAACAAATTACATTACCCATGTCATTAGGGAGAAAGTAATGCCGTTTTTCCTTGTATTGGAGTATTTTCTAGAATATGGGCTTCGGGGAGAAACTAATGCCATGATGTAATAATCCTATTCCTTCTTCAAATAACCCAGGGATGGAACCAAGCTCTAGACATGTTAAAGAGCGGAGATGATCAATGGGCATTATTTGCTAAATCGGTCCTTGACAGAAGTCGTCTCTCACTTGCAAGCAAAGCTGAATCGTATCATCATCTACTGCAACCATCTGCAGAGTATCTTGGAGCGCGGCTTGGAGTGGATCCATGGGCAGTATGTTACTATGGCACTGTTTCCTTTGGAGACTCTATACAGTAGCATCTTAAAGTTAACACCTGATGTTGGTGCATGCAGGTCAATATATTTACTGAAGAAATTATTAGGGCTGGATCAGCAGCTTCACTATCCTCCCTTCTTAATCGACTTGATCCAGTTCTTCGCCAAACTGCTCATTTGGGGAGGTACATCTTTTTTTTTTTTTTTTTGTTCAGGATAAAAAGAATTAGAATTCTTACTTTTGCTGAATCAATCCAAGTACTTTGACAGTTGGCAGGTCATTAGTCCAGTTGAAGCTACTGGGTATGTTGTCGTGGTGGATCAGTTGCTCTCTGTTCAGAATGTATCTTACTCAAAACCCACAATATTGGTTGCGAAATCTGTTAAGGGAGAGGAAGAAATTCCTGATGGTGCAGTGGCTGTGCTGACCCCAGACATGCCTGATGTTCTTTCACATGTTTCTGTTCGAGCGAGGAATAGTAAGGTTGTACTTTGTTTTCCCCCTTCCAGATGCTCAGATCAATTTTTGGAAAATGCACCAGTATAACCCCATCAGAGCTCTCTTTTAGGTTTGCTTCGCAACATGCTTTGATTCCAATATATTGGGCGAAATCCAGACAAAGGAAGGAAAATTGTTGTGCTTAAAACCTACATCTGCAGATGTGGTATATAGGTAATCTTGGGGATCATACCATCTGTTCATGTATTCTATTGATAAAGTAACATAAAAGTTTTCAGTTCCTTGCTTCTTTTATTCTTTTCTTTTTCTTTTGATCCCTTTTGCCCTTGTTTCAAGAAACTTCGATCTCAAAAGCATACAACTTTTGGTTATGTGAAGGCCAAAAATGAAACTCCACTTGTTAATTTACTGCAGTGAGGTGAACGATGATGAGCTAATAAGTTCAGGTAACTCTAAGGAAGGTTCATCTGTGCCATCTGTGACTTTGGTTAGAAAGAAGTTTGGTGGGAGATATGCAATATCATCTAATGAATTTAACAGCGAAATGGTAAGCCCCTTGTACTCAACTATATCACTTATATTTGATAATTTCTCGGTTTTGTCCTCGTGTAAATGTCGTGTGTTTGTTATTTCTTAGAATTTTGAAATTCTAAAATTCCATTGAAGATTCTTCTACAAACATGAGAAATTATATGGAGTCATATGTCCAGGTCGGAGCCAAATCTCGCAATATCGCACACCTTAGAGGGAAAGTCCCATCTTGGGTTAATATTCCAACATCTGTTGCTTTGCCGTTCGGTGTTTTTGAAACAGTCCTTGCAGATGATATAAACCAGGTACTCTTTCTGGACTTACTTTCAAATGCATCCACATTGGCATTGCCCATCATCCTCAAATTTGGTTATGTTGCCTAGAGTTTTCTGGAAAATTCTAGTTCTGCCCATTTTGTACATTTGGCTTGAACTGTTTCAAGGAAATTTTTTTGCCAAACAATTATAATATAAAATCATACTTCCTATTTTACCTGGGTCCTATATTGAAGAACTTCACATTGCCTGAAGGAAGTTCCACTTGTGCTGTAAGATGTTATTTTAAGCAAGAAAAGTTTTAAATCTCTTGAGCAGAAACTGTGATCTAACGTGGGAAAATTACTGAACAGATGTTCTGTGGGAATAATTTTCCTTGTTAAGTCAGCATCTGTGAATGGAGTTCTTTCATAAACTGAAAATATGAAATTACCACTCTATGAATCTGCTTGGTTGCAATATAACTAATCAAATATATTCTGCAGGATGTGGCCAAAAAATTGCAAGTTCTGAAGCAGAAATTAGTTGAAGGAAACTTCAGTGCCCTTGGTGAAATTCGAGACACCGTCTTAGAACTTTTAGCTCCAACACAATTGGTATGTCCCTTCTTGTGTCACCGCTTATTTCGCACTTCCTTTTCCAATATTAGATATGGATACATGAATTCACAGTTCCTGCTTTTAAATTTTTCTTTTAAGCACCCATGGGTGTTTTATTACTCATTTGTGTGGACCATAGTTCCCCTGTCCAGAGTTAAAACATATTGTTTAGTTACACTATTATTTGAGACAGTTGGATAAGATGTCAGAAAATCACAAACATTGGAAAAATAAATGAGGATGTCCAAATGGCAGAGGTGTATTTTACTAGAATGACCTTGTCTCAGGTTAAAGAGCTTAAAGAAAAAATGCAGAGTTCTGGCATGCCTTGGCCTGGTGATGAAGGTGAAACGAGATGGGCACAAGCATGGATGGCCATAAAGAAGGTGATAATGAATTTAGGGGAAAAAGAAAAAGCTTCAAATATTCATGTGTTCTGTGGAAACACGTGATTATACAACTGATTTACATAAGCTAACTTGTTTCATAAGTTCTGCATCTCTTAGGTATGGGCTTCGAAATGGAATGAGAGGGCATACTTCAGCACAAGGAAAGTGAAACTTGATCACGATTATCTTTGCATGGCAGTTCTTGTCCAAGAAATCATAAATGCTGATTATGCATTTGTTATCCACACCACTAACCCATCTTCTGGGAACTCATCTGAAATTTATGCCGAGGTAATTAATATATGCTACAACAAAGAGATGATGAATTTTAGGCATAATGTTTCTCCAATTGCCAGGAATACCACTCACTTGAAAATTAACGAATCGCATCAAATGCAATGAGCTGTTTGATAATAATATGTGAGCGAAAATAGCTAATTGCATGTGCTTCTATTGTAGATTATCAAACTTGTAATATTCTCCAAGTCTACGTTTACATGTTTACATGTCTCCTGGAACAGGTTGTGAAGGGTCTTGGGGAGACCCTAGTTGGAGCTTATCCAGGTCGTGCATTGAGCTTTATTTGTAAGAAAAATGATCTCAACTCTCCTAAGGTATGTTATTGATATGGGACATGATTCCATATCTAAATATCCTCTCCTTTAGACAAACAAATTTTCTCAAACCATATAGTTGGCAGGATTGTAGTTCAAGTCATCTATGTGTGAATCATAAATTCTAGTCATTCATTTAGCTAGTAAATCTACATTTTTCTGTCTTGTTTACGGCTTCCCTAAATTCTTATATAAAGTATTCTAATTTGTTTCCTCTGCAAAGCCATACATACTGGTGCAGTATGTGATTTTACCAATTGGGTACATTGACAATTTAATGCCTTTACATACTGCGTAGAATTATTTGATTACAGCAAATGCTGAAATTAAGCATCTCCTTGAAAATTTCTAGGTTTTGGGTTATCCCAGCAAACCCATTGGCCTTTTCATAAGGCAGTCTATAATTTTCCGATCAGATTCAAATGGTGAAGATTTAGAAGGTTATGCTGGCGCTGGCCTTTATGATAGGTAATGTTTATATATAATCATTGTTTCCAGTAGTAAGGTTATTTCTTTCATAGAAGTAATGAAAGTTGTTCCTTACTGAAAGAAGGTAGAAGAAAAGTATCTCTGCTCATATACTTCAATAAAGTAAACATTGAGTCTAGGGATTTTGCTTCATAACGTACAGCTGTTATTATTTGCAATTTTTCCTTCTCTGTGACAGTGTGCCAATGGATGAGGAGGAGAAGGTTGTGCTGGACTACTCGTCTGATCCATTAATTATTGATAGTAGTTTTCGTACCTCAATCCTGTCTAGCATAGCCCATGCAGGAAAAGCCATAGAGGAGCTATATGGATCGGCTCAAGATATTGAAGGTGTGGTGAAGGATGGGAAAATTTATGTTGTCCAAACGAGACCTCAGATTTGACTAGATTCATTGCTGCTTCCTGAGAAAGGGAGATTATCATTTGAACATGATGGTAAAGGGAATGGTGCCCAGAAAAGCCATACGTATAGAAGATTCACGTGTCTATTGATATTCATATTACCAATGCTTGTACAACTTCTGTACATTTTATACGCATAATAATTGGATGCTCATACAATGATAATAATAATACTAATTCAAGCATTTATATCTATATAAATAATGTACCAACCGATACTACTAAATGTAGCATGATTTTAGGTGGAAAGAGAGTTGTCCATATTTAGTATATAACTAGTAAAGTGCACGTGCGATGCACGTGGTATCGAATGATTTTTGCCGAGTAAGTTTATAAAATAAATTAATTTATTTATTAAACATATCATTGCAGGAATCAAATAAAATATAGAACAAATGAATTTATATGTAATTTTTTTTTATTTAGAATTAGCGTAATGATGCCCTAATATAAAAAGAGTGAAATAATGTTTTACAACCTCCAACTAAAATATATAAAAAACAAATCCTTAATACAAAAACCACTAAAATTTTCTTTCATCTTTCTTATAAGAAACATTCATACTCGCTGAAGTCTAATACGTCAATACTATTGCAAAATTTCTGACCCAACATATAGTCAAACTTCATGATCGTATAATCTTTATAATAAGGTACTTCTACTAACAATGCATAAATATCTCTATAAAATAACTAACTATGACATTAAAATTGCTGGTATTTTTTTATCATTGTATAAACTACTACATTCCTCTGTCTCTAGACATATTGGTGCCTACCCCATTAATGCATCGCCCCACGAGGTGGGAATGAATTTTATCTCCAAATAAAAGTTGACTTTCAAAAATTTTGGTTACATGTTTCCAAAATTTTGGTTACATGTACTTCTCCCGAGGTACTAAATTATTTTTTGAAATCATCATACATTACTTGAAAGTACCTCTAAAGTAATTGCACATATGTTTGAGTACAATATACCAATGAGATTATAAAAATATTTCTATAAAAAGTGACAACTTCATTCGAACATTCAAAATTGTTTTGATACTCCGACATTGTTGTTTATTTGGAATATAGACGAACAATATAATCTATTATTTGAAAATTATTGACCATCATGGTTGTTGCAATGATTTTAGAATTTTTTATCATAATATCTTTCACATTCGTTTAAATATGCAATATTTGTGTGCCTAATAACTTCTTTAATGCTTTTATTGTCCAACATTATTCATCATACAAAATGATTATAAAATTCAAGATAAAGATCAGTTCTTTATTCTCCAACAATGACAAAACAAAACAATCAAAACAATGAGAAAATATTGAGAAGCATATCATTTGTTAAAATATTTGATAAGAGAAGAGTTAGAATTATATTATATTATGATACTCTTAGTCATCTGCAAAGTTTATTATTATGGAGTCATGATTAAAATATACATTATGTATTACAAATTTTTAGATTTTTTAATTATTTAAAATTAAAAATAAATAATATAGGATCATTATTTATGAAAACCAATTTCTTACAGAGTCCCTATATTTAAACGCTAGCAATAAAAAAGTAGTGGTTTTCAAAGACTTTTTGTTCGTAAATATTGATATTCATACTTCTCTAAGAAAATTCACAAGTATTCTTTTTCTCATTGTGTTACTATTATATTATTTGTTTCTTATTCTATAGACAAATAATATTTTATTTGCTAAATAATTAAAGCACATTTATATGTATTGCGTTATTTTTTGTATGTGTTTTATATAATG